GCTTTACTTTTTTTTTTATTTACATCAGCTATGTTAAATACTCAAGGCCTGTTATGGAAATGTCGAGACATATTGTCCCGGATATTATTTTTCATGTTCATGTTTTCATGCAGGCATCTAGCAGTCTGGAATTGGGGAGATTATAGTCATGAGTGCTGATATCTGTTTTTGTCTTTGTTGGGTGGATGCTTTCTTACTTGGTTTCTTTTTCCTCTACAATACTTAGAAGAGGGTGGAGGCTACGTGTTGCCTGTTAGGAAAATTTTCTGGGGTCCTGATAGGTGTGGATGCTGGTGGGGAGTTCCAGGTAAAACGTGTTTCTGTGTTTTGGGACCCAACACTTAGGAGGGGAGATGGGCTGACACTTACGCACGGTGATGGGCCAGGGATATCACAGGGGGTTCACAAGGTGGAGGAAAACAGGCTGTTCCACAGAATACCATGCTTAGTTAGTCCCCTGGGAATATGGACAGAGAGTGAGAAGATGCCACCGCAGAAGTTTTGCTATAGAGCAGAGAATAAGATTGAGGTATTGGACTTGGAAGAATGGAGGGAAATGTGAAGATCTCAGTTTGCCTATTTGCTTCTCTGGTCAGGGTGGCATGTGGGTTTTTAGGGAGTACCTTCTGGAGTCGGGGCCTGGGACAAAGCAATGAGTTGAGGGAATGACATTTGGACAGGAAGTTCTGTGTGAGCCACTGGAGATACTTGCAGGTGTGGAAGGGTGTCTGTGGCAGGTCTTCTGCTGCAGAGCTTGGGATGAAATTGGGGGATTGTATTTGGAGGAACAGAAAAAGATGTGAAGAACTCCAATTAGCCTACCTGCTTCCCTGCCCAGTTGGCCTGTGGGTTCCCAACAAGTGCCTTTTGGAGTAAGGGGCCGTGATAAAGCAAGTAGGTAGGGGATGCCGGGCGGTGGTGGTGCATGCCTTTAATCCCAACGCTCGGGAGGCAGAGGCAGGTGGATCTGTGTGAGTTCGAGGCCAGCCTGGGCTACAGAGTGAGTTCCAGGAAAGGGGCAAAGCTACACAGAGAAACCCTGTCTCGAAAAACCAAAAAAAAAAAAAAAAAAAAAAAAAAAAAAAGGAGGTAGGGGAGAGAGGTTAAGAGAGGAGCATGGGGAAAAGAAGGCTGCAACATGTGTTTTGTTTTGTTTTTTTTGCAGAGCTGTGAATGACACTGGAAAATTTTATTTGGAGGACCAGAAGGACAGGAGAAGGTCTTCAGTTCGTCTACCTGCTTCCCTGGCTGGAATACACCTCCTCATTTTTGAGACACAGTCTCACTATATAGACCCATAGACCTAAGTACCCTGAAACTCATTATATAGACTAGGCTGGCTTCAAACTCATAGAAATTTGCCTTTCTTTTCCTCCTGAGTGCTGGTATTAAAGGTGCATACCACAGCACCCAGAATCATAGCCTATTTTTATTTGATTTTGTTCTTAATGTTTATATTTTTATATTTGTGTGTTCTGGATATTAATATCCTGTCAGATGCATACATGGCAATTGTTTTTGTCTCATTCTTCAGAGGGTCTATATGGTTGAATGACAATTTCATTTGCTACACAAAAAGCTTTTCCCTTTTATAAGGTGCCATTTGTAAATTATTGACATTATTTTCTGAGCAGCCTCAAGTGTTTCTTACTCAGAATGACCTTACATATACATGTATTTTTGTAGTAGTCCCTAATTTTTCCCTACATGTTTCAGAATTTATTTGAAATAAAAAGAAACATATTATTATTGAAGTAGCTTGATAAAAAGGCAATTTATTAATATAATTAATTTAAGGATTATAAGTTACAAGACCCATGTTAGACACAGATTCTTATCTCTATGCATACATTTATTCAGAGAGGTATACAAATTTATAAATATTTAAAATTAATTTTAATTATTGATTATACTAATGTGTATTTTTCTCAAGCTCCTATATATTCTTCCTCTCTATATACAGTCCCTCTTTCACATTCCAGTCTTTTTTTGTGACTCATTGATTTTAAGCAGGACAAGCTGTATGACCACCTGTTTGAACTCTCCATTGGAATCTTCAGGGCTCACCTCTGAGTACACAAGTGAAGACATCGAATTCCTCTTTGGCAGAATCTACTTATATACAATAGTGAAGCAGAGTGGTGTATGGTCCTTTGATTAAGCCTGACTAGTGACAAGCCCAGTCTGCCATACATTAATTGTAGACAACTATAACTGCTGTGTGTTGATTATGAATGAAACAGCAGTGCCGTGTTCAAAATACATCATTTACTGTCTCCTTTCCATCTCTTCTGGCTTTATAGTCTCTCTACTTCTTGTTCTATCGTGTCCCATCAGCCTTAGACTGTATGGGGTGGGTACAGTGTTCAGGGATAAGCACACAACATTTCCATCTCTGTTTTTCCTCTAATACTTTCAATGGTTATTCCCAGGCTGAACTTCCCCACCTTGTCTTCCTCCTGCATTCATATCACACATGTTTTACCAACTCCCTCTCCCTGAACTTAAGTCTTTTTCTATTCTCATTGTTCCTTTTTGTCTCCTGGTCTCTTTTGAACTGACTCTCCATCCAACATAAACAAACACACCATAAAAAAATCAAAAGAAAAAAAATACAGGGTATTTTTCCTGTCTCTCTGAGCCTGGGTTACCCTATTCAGTGTACCTTCCAGTGTGTCCATTTTCTGCATATATCAAAATTTCATCTTTTATAACAATTTTTAACTTCTAATGACTTAAGGTGGCTTTATTCTTGTTTTCCTAAAACCTGAAATTGCATCATTAGGTTGTTCTATTTTATAGTTTCATTTTCATTTAATTCAATGAATTACATTCTTTCTTGATGACATAATGTTTGCTCAAAACACTATGACTCAATGCAATTTTCTACATTTCTTATAATTTCTCTTTAGATTTTTCCCATTCTGTTGCTATATATTAAAAGTAGTAAGGTATTTTAAATTTTGTATTGGCTTAAGTTTCTAAATCATGCTCAGTTTTGGAGAAAGTGCTGAAATACTGGGAAGAATGTGTATTATGAGGGCATTTATATTAGGTCAATTTAAAATACAGTGTCACTACACCTGAATTTGAGTTGTTGATTTTTTTCCCCTGTATTACTTATAGTTTGGGAAATATGTGAGACTAAAGCTAGTGACTATTACTGCTTTTGCACTGAAAGTCAATTCCTTTAGATTTTCCTTAATACTACAAGAAGTATTTTTAAGTATATACAATTTAGCATGATGTTTATTTGTTCTTGTTTCAATTCATATTAATATATGATTTTTTTTTTTTAATTTTTCGAGACAGGGTTTCTCTGTGTAGCTTTGCGCCTTTCCTGGAACTCACTTGGTAGCCCAGGCTGGCCTCGAACTCACAGAGATCCGCCTGGCTCTGCCTCCCGAGTGCTGGGATTAAAGGCGTGCGCCACCACCGCCCGGCAATATATGATTTTTTTTAAACCAAACTTTATAAAACATCATGACTTTCATGATGGATAGATGTTTAACTCTACAAAAAAATGTGCATCTTATTTATGCCAAATATACCCCCAAACCCAAATACTAAGAATGAATTATCAACTAGTATATTCTTGTATACTGTATATCATGCTATTGAATTAAGAAATAAAATTTAAAATTTTAATTTTCTGAGTCATATAAGACACTATACCATAGTTAACCCAATTATTGCATATGTGCCACTCAATGATTTGATCATACTCACATATTTGGAATGCCTTCCATTAAATGTATACATATAGATTATTTTATTTATAAGCTAAAACACATAATGAAAATTTTCACATTGCTGTTTGAAAAGGTGTAAAAATTATATGAGGAGGCATTGAATTTTGCACAATATGCTAATGAATGTCAGCACAAAAGTAATGGAACAGAAGAACATGGATCCCATCTGGCTCTATGCTTGTGTTAATCACATGAAGCAAATTTTTAATCAAGTAGGTCTTCTCCTTAAGGATTTGTGTGCTGCCCTGTAATCACATGACAGTCAAAATTTTATTAATGAATGCATTCTATTGTTAAAACCCCAGGGGCTACAGAGACTGTAAATACCAACCTGAAATCACCATACAACAGTCTTGCTCAGATTAGTAGCAAGCACAACTGCCCTTGGATTCAGGCACCATGACTTCTGTTCTGTACAACAGTCAGGTAGGTTCTTTCCTAGATTTGCGTTTCTTGTGAAGTGTATTTACATTAGCCAAAGAACTTGTGCCATTCATTCATGATGACACCCAAGCTTTCTGAAGGTTTTTGACTTAATGTTTTGCATAGGTAGCAGTACTTTAATATTAGTTATGTAGTGGTTGCAAGGTAAGGACATAAAGAGGATGAATGGAATATATAATTTGGTATGCCAAAGGCAAAACTAAACCAGAATACAAGTGTTAGAGGCATCTTGTACCAAGCTTTATTTAAAATAGTATCCTTTTATGACTCACTGTTGAATCACGGATAAGATTCATGGTTTTCTGTGGTATTATTAATGAATACAATGAATCGGATCAGAAAGTCCAATGTATATGTTTAATTACAAATGAGCCACAATTGAGATAAGATGTGTTTAACTTGAAATTTGATTTTATATTAATTCTATTAGTTTATATTGGATTTAATACTCTTTTTGGTTTCACAATGATTATAATTTTATTAATTTTTTTCAGTGAAAATCCACATATAATTACTGTGTTATTCTTATTCATTGGTATAATGTAGTAAAAGAGAAGGTATGGGTAAATAAAATTAAAACAATCAAATAATAGATGGGTAGGAAAAGGGGAAATTAAGAGATAGAAAAACAGCAACAAAGACAGAAGGAGAAAGAAGTAGAAAGAGACACAAATATGGATGGAGAATAGAATTGACAAATAGGGAAATAACCTTTTCTTCAATAACCATGTCATGAATGTTAAACTGATGGTCAGTTTTTTTCTATATAATCACCCCTGTTATCTTTTTCAGCATCTGAAAACCATGGGATTTACAAACCAAACAGCTGCTACTAACTTTCTTCTTCTAGGCCTCTCAAGTGACTCAGAATTGCAACCTGTCATGTTTGGACTGTTTTTGACCATATATCTGGTCACAATGATTGGGAACCTGTTCATAATCTTGGCCATCATTTCAGATTCTCATCTCCATACTCCCATGTACTTCTTTATCTCCAACCTCTCATTGACTGATATCTGTACAAGCACCACTACAATTCCAAAGATGCTGGTGAACATCCAAGAACAGAATCTAAGCATAAGCTTCACAGGATGCCTCACTCAGGCTTGCTTTGCCATGCTTTTTGCTAGTCTGGAATGCTGCCTCCTTGCAGCAATGGCGTATGATCGCTACGTGGCCATTTGCTACCCCTTGAGGTACACTGTCATCATGAATCAGCGCCTGTGTAGTCTACTCATCCTATTCTCCCTGCTCAGCAGCACTGTGAATGCATTGCTTCTCAGCCTCACAGTGCTGTGGCTTTCCTTCTGCAAAGATGTGGAAATTCCCCACTTCTTTTGTGAAATTACCCAGGTCATCAAGGCAGCCTGTTCTGGCACATTCATCAACAATATACTGATTAATATTGCAGGATTAACATTTGGTGGCATTACTTTTGCTGGAATCATTTTCTCTTACACTGAAATTGTCTCCACAGTTTTTAAAATACCATCTGTTCAAGGAAGATATAAAGCCTTTTCCACGTCTGGGTCTCATCTGTCAGTGGTTTCTTTATTCTATGGGACAGGTTTAGGTGTGTGCATTAGCTCAGCAGTAACTAACTCTCCCAGGGTGACAGCAGTGGCATCAGTGATGTATACTGTGGTGACTCAAATGCTGAACCCGTTCATCTACAGCTTGAGGAACAAAGATATGAAGCAAGCCTTAAAGAAACTCATGGGTAGGATGACTTCCTTTTTATAAATGTGTTCTCTTTTTTGGACAGATCCTATAGTTAAATCAGTGTGACAGGATTCCTGACCATCCCTTCACGAATCCTTTCAAATTCAATGGATGACATAATGCCAAATATATTTCATCCTGTGTTTATTACTTTTTCCTGTATTTATGTATGTTTGAAAAATTGTCTCATCTCTATTTTCCATTTCTTTTCTCATGTTTCAAAATCAGAGACAAAGTGTGTGGGTGTGTGTCTGTATCTGTGTGTTATATAAAAGTTAACCATGCATGTGTATTTGTTTATATGTATGCATTAATGTATATATAGACATGTATATAAAAGGAGATGGCATATTAATTAATTTTAATGACTGTGTGTGTGTGTGTGTGTGTGTGTGTGTGTGTGTGTATGTGTGTGTGTGTGTGTGTGTGTGTGTATAGGTATCAGATCATGGTAATTAGACAAAGTGCTACTTCCAGTATTTACCATTCATTTCCATGGATAATATTGAAATTTATTTGAATTCACATTGTTCATTTTTGTCAATCATGAATACTAGAAGTTAGTTCATCTATCCATATAATCTCGTGTACTTGTTAATCCTTCTCTGTCTATCCCTCACCTATATCTTTCCAAACTTGTCATAGCCAGTGTTATATTATCTGCTGTAAAATCATTTTTGCCTTTGATGTTTAAGTGAGAAAATATGGCATTTGTTATTTTCTGCCCATTTTCACTTAACAAAATAGCTTCTAGTTTAATTAATGTTCCCTAAAATGATAGTAAACGGTTTTATGGTAGAATAGAATTCTATTGTGCCTATGTGTCATTTTTCCTTTACTCATATATCCACTGAGCATTGTTTAAAATTAATTTCCTATGTGAACTGCTGTGTTAGAGCTATTGAATGAAATACATACATAACTCATACAAATTTATCTCTGTTCCTATAAATTTGTGCCCATTTCTGAGGTAGTTTTTCAAAAAAGGTACTTGTCCTGATAGCTTCTAAGAAACATCATACTGATTTCATAATCATTGTAGACACTTAACCAGCAATACTTCATGAAAGATCAATTTTCTCTGTAGCATCACTGCCATTTCTTACTATTGACCTGATTATTCCATTCTACTCCGGTGATGTGGCAATGAGATTTATGCAGATTTCATTGATTGTTAGAATGACAATGAACCATTTTTTAGAAAACTCATTCAGCATTTTGTTTGCATTATCTTGGGTAAAGCATATTTAGCTCATTTACTTATTATTTAGCTGAACTGCTTGGACTTTTCTTCTGTTGAATTCCTTTTATTTTCTGGCTGTAACCCATATTATTTTATTGATCTGCATCAGTGTAAAATGGGGTCATCACAACATGAGGAACTGTATTAAAATGTTGCAGCACTAGGAAGGTTTAGAACCACTGCACTAGAACATAGGCAACCTATCAAGAACCACATCCCAGAATAAAACTGACTGCCCTCTTACAGCAGACATCAAATGCCACTAGCTCCTCAGCTAGAGGTGGCCTATATGTAAACTGAATATAAGTCAATATCAAGTGTTTGGGCAATATGTGTGTTGGAAGTATATTTTTTTGCTGTGGGCTTTATTTTGCATGTTTCTTCTTGTGTGTAGTAGATAGTCTTATGCTTCATTTTTCCTGTGGTTTCGTTTGAAAAATAAATAAAATTCATACTAAACTGGTACTAAGAAAAATTATTACTTTTGTTCTAAGATTTGTATAATTTTACCTTTTAACTCTGTTATAACACAATGTATGTGACTTAGAAATGAATTCTATACTTATAATAATGTAATGTAAAACTCTTTTTTAAAAAAGATTTGTTTTTATTATAGCTTTTAATTATTTTTCTACATGTCTCTTTCTGTGTGCATGCACATAGATGTAAGTGGCCAGGGAATCCAAACAATGGTGTTGGATCCCCTGGAGCTGGAATTACAGGTGTTTATGAGCAGCCAGATATGCATATTGGGAATAGAACTCAGATCTTCCTGCAAAAGCAATCTACACTGTTGTGTATAAAAGCAAAGAGAATGTACCTGGGATACCTTACATTAAAGAAGAAAAGAAGACCTGAAAAGGGATTTATGTTTTTTCTAAGAGAAGGGCATGGGTAATAAAATATTCAAATATTTTAAATGGTTTTTAGAGTTTAAGAAGTGGTGGAAAAAGAAGTATGAAAAGTGAAGCAGAGTTTGATCGGGACACAGTATACTTATGAGTGAAAATATTACATTAATTCTCTTAATATATGTAAAGAGTGTTAAAATAAAATAAAACTTTTCTAAACATCACTTTCTACTGATTGAGAGCCTCCTTTAGGTCTTTATTTAAGAAAAATTTTTCCAAAAGTAGTCTCGATCTAGATACACTACTTCCATATCTTTTATTCTTGTTTTATTCTGTGACAGTTTGTGTTGTCAACTTGATCTTGTGACACTGGACCCTTGCTGTCTTCCTTTGCACAATCCCATTTCTCACTCCTTGTGATCCATTGAGCTTCCTGTGTTCTAAATATTCACTGTGATAGTTTTGTTGTATTCTGTATGGTTGTTTTCTGTAAAGCTCATGTTTAAATATTTTGCCTTTTCAACAATCTCTAGAGTTTTACCCTTTATTTCCTAACTAAGCCAGAAGGATTTAGCCTTTATGAATAAGTTAATAGTACTATTAAAGGGATTTCAGAAGTGACCTGGATTTACTCTGTTCTTCTGCCATATATAAATAGTATCTCACCTATATAGAGGTCTCAATATTCAAGAAGGCACCCTGAAAGCAAAACCCTCAATTGAAACAGACATTGAGACAGCTGTGGCCTTGAGCCTGAACCCAAAGCCTCTAAAATTGAAATAAAATGAGTTTTATAACACCTGATGTGTAGCATTCTTTTAAAGCAGGTTTAAATTGATTCTAAATATATTCTGAGTGCATTCAGTTTCTGAATATTTTTGTATAAATGTGAGTTGTTAGCTTCATATTTTCTTATTTTATATTATGTAAGAATTCCATGCATCCTTATAATGTGTTTTGATAGAATCCATCCCTGTTTCTTTTCTGCTAATTTCTACCTCCCCACTACTTTTTACTCTTAACTTCATATCCTCATTTTCTTAATTGTACTGAGACTATTTAGTGAATGAGCACAGGATCATCTACTATAGTATGAGCAGCAGTTCAGGAGCAACACCTTAGAAGGAAACTGACTATCTCTCCATAGTGAGAACCAATATATCCTCCACTAAGGGTAGGACTTCCCCACTCCCTTATGTGTCCATATTAGAAATATTTAGTGACTTGATATTATGCATGCAGTCACAGCCACTGTGAGTTCATTTGTACAATAGCAATGTACATGGCTAGTGAATACTATTTTACTGCAGATGTCCACTATTTCCAGCCCTTACAATTTTTCTTCCCTTTCTTATGGGATTAACCCTGATGCTTGAAGACTGGGGTACACTATATATGGCCCATTTGGAGCTAAGCACTCTGTAGTCTCTTAGTCTCTCTCTCTCTCTCTCTCTCTCTCTCTCTCTCTCTCTCTCTCTCTCCATGTTGACCAGTTTTGGGTCTCTACATTTTCATTCTCTACTGTAGAAAGTCCTCAGAAGAGCAAAGAAACACTAATCAATGAGTACGAACTTGAATCTGATCATAAAAGTATCACTTGCTCCCATATAACATTCATGCCACTATTGCACCACTGACCATAAATTGTCAGAGTCCTTAATTGAAATTTACTAGGTTCATCATTAAGAACACTGCTATAGTTTTTTTTCCCCTGTCATAAGTAGAAATTTCTGGTACTATGAAAGCTACCCAATAGCATTAAATTTTCCAGGTGAGTACCAGTTTAGTTTCTACACACTCTGTGATTAAAAAATAAGGTATCTTCAGCAACAGAGTATTATCAAGATCAGTTGAAATATTCTGTGGTATTTAAGGGATTCCATTGGCCAATAATTCAAGAGGGGTAACCCATAACTACCACTGGACATTCTGCTTGACCATATATGTTTTCTGGAATAGGGAGTCACATCCCACTATAGCATTATTCCATTTACACTGTTTTTTATATGTATACATATATATTTTAGTAAGATTCTACAGTTTAGGTTTCCATATGGATTTTAAAAACATTTTTTTGGGAATGGTTTACAGTTCAGTATATTTTCTTTTACTATAAGGGACTATGATTTGAAGTCTTCATTTTTTATTTTGAATCAAAATGCCAACTCAATAAGCAACCAAACAAAATGCATTAATAATAGATGTGGTCAGATGTTAATCAGACTCTAAGAAGTGGATTGTGGTGGTCTGAAAGCAATTGACCCCCATAGACTCATAGGGAATGTCACTATTAAGAGGTCTGACTTTGCTGGAGTAGATGTGGTTTTGTGAGAAGTATATTAATTGGGGCGGGGGGCGTTGAGGTCTCAGAAGCTAAAACCTTGCCAGTGTTATACATTTACTTTCTGCTGACTGCAGATCCAGATGTAGAAATCTCAACCAACTCTCCAGAACCATGGACTAAATCTCTGAACTGTAAACCATTCCCCAAAAAAATGTTTCCCATTATAAGAGTTGTTGTGGTCATGGTTCTCTCTCCAAAGCAATAAAACACTAAGGCAGAAGTTTGAACCAGGGACTGGGGTATTGTTGTGATGGGCCTGACCATGCTTCTGTTTAGAGAAATTTGTACTTTGGGAATTTGGAAAATAACAGCAGCTGAACATTTCAAGTGTGATTTAATTGGCTATCCTAGTGGAAGACAATTGTAGTGAGAGTGATTTGAATTGTGGGCCTGGCTCAAGAGGTTTCAGAAGAGAAGAATGTTAGTAACTGGCTTGGAGACTGTTCTTGTGATGTTTTGGTGAAGAATGTGGCTGCTTTCTGCCATAGTGCAAAAATCTGCCTGAGGCTAAAGTGAAGAGTTTTGGGTTAAATGGATTGGAGGAGGAAATTTCAAAATAGCCCAGTATTAACTATGGTGTGTA